AATAAATTCTCTTTAATGCTCCTTTGTAATCCCTTCCCTCTGCCTTCTTCCCAGTGCCCCTCATCCCTCAAACTACCTGTCACTTTAAACTGTTCTCATTTTCTAGAATTTTATATACATAGAATAATATAGCATGTTACTCTTTTATTCTGGCTTCTTTCACTCAGCATAATTCTTTGGAGATTAGGAACGATCTTTGATTTCTCTTCTTACATTGCCAGCCCCCTGCTCCCAATCACTTCCTTCATCAAGTTCAGTAACCTCTACCTGAGTGCATCTACCTCTCCTTTTCTGCATTGCTATCATCTTCACCTATACCACCACCATCTCTCTCATAGCACTGCAATAGTCTTAACTGGTCTCTTTGCTTCCCCTCTTGCTACCTCTCATCCATTTTCCACCTAGAACCCACACTGATCTTTTAAAAATGGGATCATCAATTTCCATATAACTTCAATCCCCTTCTTGAAGTTATTTGGTGGCTTCAGATCACACTCAAAAACAACATTCTAACCCCCGACTGTAGCTCACAAGGCTTTTCATGGTCTGGCTCCTGTCCAGCTCCGGTGTCCCTCCTATCACTCTCCCCAACCAGTCTCTTCTTTTTGCTCTTCAAATATGTCAAGCCTGTTCCCATCTTAAATCCTTTGCTCTTGCTATCCCTTCTGCCTGGGATGCTCTTCCCCAGCTCTGTGCATGGCTGGCTCATTTTCATCTCATCTCCTTCCAGAGAGTTTCCCACACCTAAGTGGCCTCCACCAGTCAACCTCTAACCACACTGCTATTTCCTTCCTTAATAACTATATTAATATCTAAAATTATTTATTTACATGTTTATTGTTTGTCTTTCCCCAATGGAATATGTGCTCCATGAGCTCAGGGAGTTTGTCTCTTGCTACTGTTATCCCAAGGGTCTAGGTCAAAGCCTAACAGATGTCCAAAGAATATTTGTTGAAGGAATAGATGAGTGTGTCACGCACAGATAAAGCAGAGCTGGGGGATAATAGGATATCACCTAATTTCCCCAACTGATCAAACCTCAGAGGTATTATATTCTTGTACTAGTGAAGCCTTCAGTGTGAAGTCTGGTTTGTTTTTTTCCTATGAAGAGAATAGAAACGAGCCCATCTGGTTATTCTCTAGGCAAGTTCCTGAGTCCTGCAGTGTCCTTAGGCCTTTCACAGACAGTCTCTCCTTGCCATTTTAGAAGCTCTCGAGAGAGAAAGGGAATACCTTTACATTGAAGACCCACATGAAAATGAGATATGGGAAAGTAATACAGTGACTTTCAGTCCATTAATGTATATCATATTCTGCCAACTTTATGTTCAGAGAGAGTTTTATTTTTCCCCAGATTTGCTTCACTCATGTGGTATCAAGAATTAACACAGGAACTGGTCTGGAACCATGAATCTCATTGGGCTTTGGATGAAGTGAATGTGAAGCTACGCTTAAGGATGTTTCCACAGTCCGGGACATGCTAGGCACTGAAGATAGGTTCTTAGTAAAAAACTTGAGTCATATGAGAAAATCAACTGTCATAAGAAAGACTAGCAGATGCTCCCAATGGGAGAATTCACAACCAAAAATCCTTAGGTGATAAGACATTGTAAAAAATTTTTTAAATTATGTTCATTATGTTCTAATTATGTTCATTATTAGGCAAGATTGTATCATTATATATCATTATGCAAAAGGAAAGAGCAGGTGGAATTGTTTCCATATTTTGAGTATTATGAATATGCTGCAATGAACATAGCTATATAAACATCTGTTTGCATCCCTGCTTTCAATTCTTTTGGTTATACACCAAGAAGTGGGGTTGCTGGATCTTATAAAAGAGACCCCACAGATATCCCTCGCTTTTTACACCAAGTGAGGATGCAGTGAGAGGTCAGCAGTTGGCAACGCAGAAGCGGGCCCTCCCTTAAGCATGCTGGTACCCTGATCTCCGACTTCCAGTCTTCAGAACTGTGAGAAATAAATGTTTGTGATTTATACGCCACCCAGTCTGTGATATTTTGTTACAGCAGCCTGAAGGACTAAGACGTACTGGATTAAGACCCACTCCAAAGATCTAATTTGAAAATGATTACCTCTGGCCCTGGCTAGCACTGGCCTGTGAAAAAAGGTGTTGCCGGTTCAATTCCCAATTTGGGCACATGCCTGGGTTGTAGGCCAGGTCCCCAGTAAGGGGAGCGTGAGAGGCAACCACACATTGACATTTCTCTTCCTCTCTTCCCCTCTGTCTAGAAATAAAGAAATAACATCTTTAAAAAAATGATTGCCTCTGTAAAGATTTGATTTCCAAATTGATGTCATTTGGAGGCACTGGGTGTAGGACTTCAGTGCACCTTTTTTGGGGGGGGCGGGGACACAATTCAACCCATAACACAAAGACTAAGAGAGTTTACCCCTCAAAGACTCTTCCTGAAGGAATCTACTGAAGATTTACTTTATCAAGAAAGAACAAAAGAAAGTGAGAGAGGACTCTTGCCTAAAGTCACATTGCTGTTAGGTTGTGCAGGTAATACTTGAACCCACGTTGTCTGACACCTTAGCCCATGCTCTTGATTTCTATATTATACAAATCTCTATGAAGAGTATTTCAAAATCTCATGAGGTAATGTACATAAAAGTATCTGAGACTTTCTTTGAATTTTAATGCTTAGTCATTATTTACTAGTCATCTATAATGAAGTTCTAAGAAGATCCCAGAGTAGAATTACGCCTTTTTTTTCTTTCTGAAATTAGAGTGATGGCAGATTTCCTTTTAAAGAATTCATTCTCATTCATTGTTTAATTTGTATTCATTTTGCTGTGATGGGTGTTCTGGGTAGAAGTGCTGAGAGGACCATTATTCTATAGTTCTTGATTTCAAGACTTTACGTCTAAATGAAAAAAAAATTTTTTTAAGTAGAAAGTGTCCTGTGCCTTGAGAGACAAACAGATGTAGTCTTGAGGAGAGTTTAGAGGAGAGGTTATTTTTGATCTGTGCAATGAGTGTTGTAAAAATAAAAGATATAATGGAGAGGTGACCTGTTTGCTGGACCTTGAAGACAAACATGATAATATTAATTACATCAACTTAACTACAACTATTTATTGGGAACCTACTTTGTGCATGGTGCTATGGTTGGAGCTTTTCATCCTGATCTTATTTATTTCTCACAATAACTCTGTTAGGTCAATATTGTTATTCTCAAAAGAGGAGACAAACCCTGTTGCCACATACAGCTAGTAAATGGAACCAGACAGACTTAGGCTCAAGGTAGGCTGAACTTCAATTCAGATATAGTTGGTTCCAAATTCCTGCCCTTTCCCCTCTAAGTTTTTCAAGTAGGTAAACATCCATTTTTTCCCCGTTTTCAATAGTCCAATTTATATCCATTCTTCTGGTTTAAATGCTAGGTCTTTTACAGCAAATTCTCAAAATGTAGTCTGGAGACGAATTACATCAGGTCATAAGGATTGTTTGCAAAAGTGCAAATTTCTGAGCCCCAATCTCAAAGATTCTCATAAATTTGGGGTGAAGACCAGAGAGCCTTATTAATAGTATTTTTTAAAAATTTGTTTGGACTCTCTTGAGAACCACTGTGTCAAAACAGTCTTTGAGGAGAATTCAGAAGAAATAATTTTTTTTGGAAGAGCACTTCCGTAGCATTCTGGTCTTCTTTGTACTGGCATGCCTGAGGCTCAGGCTGATTTTTTCCCTTATCTCTGACAGCATGGGGACCAGCTGAATGATGGAAGAGGTTTTGACCTTGTCTACATACATCTCAATTTAACAGAACAACTAAGCTATTTGAGAAAGTGCTTAAAACTGTACAAGAAATATGCATGTTGTATTTGTCTGAAAGGATGTGGAGAAGCCAGCAAGGCCTGATAGATGGGAATCCAGAATATTTCAAGAGTTACTATCCTAGGCACAGCAAAGAAAATCATCAACAAAATAAAAAGATAACCTATAGAATGGGAGATCATATTCACTGATACATCTGATAAAGGGCTAATATCCAAAATTTATAAAGTACTTACAAAACTCAATACCCCAAGCAGTGAATGACACAATTAAAAAATGGCTAAAGGACCTGAATAGACACTTCTCCAAAAAAGACATTCAGATGGCCAATAGACATATGAAAAGATGCTCAAGGTCACTATTCACCAGAGAAATGCAAATTAAAACCATAATGAGATACCATTTCACACCTTTCAGAATGGCTATCATCAATAAATCAACAAACAACAAGTGCTGGTGAGGATGTGGAGAAAGGGGAACCTTTCTGCACTGTTGGTGGGAATGCAACCTGGTGTAGCCACTGTGGAAAGCAGTGTGGAGATACCTCAAAAAATTTAAAATGAATCTGCCTTTTGACCTAGTGATCCCACTTCTGGAAATACATCAGAAGAAACCTGAAACACTAATTTGAAAGAACATAAGCACCCCTGTGTTCATTGCAGCGCTTTTTACAATCATCAACATATGGAAGCAGTCCAGGAGTCCATCAATAGATGAGTGGATAAAACAACCGTGGGACATTTATACAATGGAGTACTGCTTGGCCATAAAAAAGAAGACAATTTTACTCTTTGCACAGTATGGAAAACATTATGCTAAGTGAAATGAGCAAGCCAGAGAAAGACAAATGTGATATGATTTCACTCATGTGGAATATAATGAACAAACTGAAATAATAAGCAAAACATAGAGACAGACTCATATGGAGAACGGAAGACAGCTAGAGAGGGGAAGGTGAGGAGGTGGAGGGATTGAGGAAAAAGGAAAAAGGACTCAACACCAACAATAGTGTGGTGATTGCTGGGGGAGGGAAGTATAAGTGGACTAACGGTAATGGAAAAAATATACTAAAGATTAAATAAAATATATTTTTTTAAAAGTTACTAGCTCAGAAGAAGGAAAGAACCCTGACTAGGCACTCGCGCGCAGGCGCAGAAGAAGGAGGGACTAATCAAACATCCAAGGCGAGCCCTTCCCCCACACTCTTTCCGGCCTTGGTCCAGCGCGCAGGCTCAGAGAGTGAGCCAAGATGGCGGCGCCCGTGGATCTGGAGTTGAAAAAGGTAAAAGAGGGTTTTGAAACTAGCGGAAGGCTCCTCTTTGGTAGCTAAGGGGACTGTGAACAAGATTATGAAGGAGGCTGGAGTCTTGCGGAAGGAAAGCGGTTTCAGGGAACTGGGGAATGATTTCCTAGAGTCGTAAGGCGGGACTGGGTCTCCTTAGGTTAGAGTGGGGGGCCAGCAGTTTTAGCTGGTGAAGAGCTGGTTGAGCTGGGCTTGGTTAAGTCTGGTGCACCGACATCTGACCTGTCCCCTTATTCCGAGCTCCAGAGCCGTTTTGTTGTGCTTGGAATCTTCACTTCCATAGTAAGGCCTGAAGTGAGCGTCTCAAATTGGACCACCTTAGGACGGCTTGCCCCAGCTCAGGCATCTGTAATACCCATTTGCTTTGAAAAACTACAAGTCCGACCTGTGCTTTTAAGCCACTTATTTGTTCCTAAACCTCGAAAAGTCTCACTACAGTTCAGAGCCTGATAAATTAATAGCAGTGCTCATCTCAGGACTTTGGCTCCCCACCCCCCACCGTTTTTGGAGGACTTGTCTAGGAAAGAAACAAGTCCCTAAAGTTTTGCAAATAAAATTGATGTCAGAAGAAATTGGGTTTCTCTCTTCGATTGCCTATAAATGTATTTTTACTCAGAAACGTTTCACTACCACAGAGTACCACTACCGACCCCAACCCATATTTTGGGGTGGGGGGGTGGGGTTAGGGGTGGGAATTGGGCTTCATCTACTTTAAGTCCATACTTTTCTAGAAAAGGAAACAGTTCCAGGAAAGAATCAAAGGTTACGGTCATTAGTAGTTTAGGTTCTTGAGAAGAGCGGATTTTACTTAAGACCACCTTCCAGTCAATCTGTATGAAAGCAATGGGACAGCTGAAATAGCTGTTCATCCTGATAAATGAAGCTGTTACTGCTGTGAGGATTTTTGTGTGTGTCTCACTTTTTGTCATTCCTGTTTTGCAACTTGTAAATTTGGCCCTTACCTGGTCTTCTCTCATACTGTAGTATCTCAGTGTTAACAATTACACTAGCTTCCTTAGTAAAATGTGTACTGAACAAAACAAAATTCATTTTAAGAATGCTTATTCTAAAATTTTAGCTTTAAAAAAGAAGATTTTATTTATTTTTCAACAGAGAGGTAGTGAGGCAGAAAGAGAGGAAGAGAAACATCAATGTGTGGTTGCCTCTCATACACCCCCTACTGGGGACCTGGCCCATAACCCAGGCATGTGCCCTGACTGGGAATCAAACCAGTGATTCTTTGGTTCAAAGGCTGGGGCTCAACCCAATGAGTCACATCAGGCAGGGCTAAAGGTTTGGCTTCCTTTTTAATCCTGTTAAAAGTTCAAATTTAAGTCAGGGTTTAGTGAAAGAGCTAACAATAGAGTACATCTGTGAATGGACACACCTCCCAGTGTTTGAATTTGTTGCTAAGAAACCTGTGGGAAATGAGTGCAAATTAAGAAAATTATTTCAGCCTTAAATTGGATAGCTCTGACAACCAATTAAATGAACTAAAGAAAATCGTTTAAAGATTTTTATCTTCTAATTCATTTGTTTATTACCTGGAGACAAATTGAAAATTTCAGGCCCCTCCCCTCCCCCAAAATAAATCTTTTGAAACCTTACTCGTAGGTGAGAACGAAGTCAGAATAAAAGATAAGTAGTATTGCAGTCACAAATGTTGTTATTGAGGCATACATTTGACAGCATGTGGAAGTCATTCGAGACATTTCAACAAGAGTATCCAAAAAACTGTGTTTATCTTTGAGTTCAGTGTACTTGGTGGTCAAATTTGGCTTCGTATGTGCATAGAAGATTATAATGTAATTCTTCTACCAGTGCTTATGAAATTTTCTCTTTTTTGGTCTTTCTCCTAAAAATATTTATATTCTGGATATTACTGTAGACAACAGACTAGAAAGATTCTTGAACTAGGGTTTCAGAAGTAGATATGAATACCTGCCTTTCCACTGGTGGTTGTTCAGCCCTGTGCAAGCCACTTACATTTCTTTCTTTCTTTTTTAATATGAAAAATAGAAACATTTATTGAAGAAGATACAAGATACAAGAAACATTGTACATAGGACAATGACACCTCAGTCCCCTTCAAAGTAGGCACCTTTGGACATCCCATAGTTCTCCCAGCATCTCTTCCACTGTTAAAAACACTCTGCAAAATCCTTTGTTGGAATCACCAACTGCCCCATCACATTTTCCTGAATCTCATCATTGGTCTGAAATCTATTCCCTTTCAAAGGTGGTTTTAGTTTTGGGAAAAGCCAGAAGTCACAAGCACCAAATCTGGGCTATAAGGGGATTGAGTCACCTGGGTGAATTTATGTTTCACCAAAACACTCTGCATGAGATGTGATGCATGACTTGGTGCGTTGTCGTGATGAAACTGCCAATTATCAGTTGCCCACAGCCGTGGCATTCTGAATCATCTGAATAACTTCTGTGGGGATTTTCAAGCTTAATACAAAATTTTGATGCAGATTTGTTGCTCTACTTATTCAGTCCTTTTGAATGCGACAGCCACACAATACACATTCTCACTCAGCGGTGTCTACTTTCTCCACTGACTAGTACAGTGAGGTCATTGTTCAGGAACATGCATTCCAGTCCACTCCTCTTGGCTACCAGGTTACATCAATGCACTTACATTTCTTGAATACATTTACTTACTCAATTTATAAACTTATGAGGAAACTGCCACCCTAACTCATAGGATTTGAGAGGAGTGAGATTTATTATATCCCTCGGTGCTCTCATATTAATATTCCTATATTAATATATGAAACAAATGTGGGAAAGCTCTTGGAAACCTAGTGAGTGATATATATGTAGAGAGTTCCATTTATGGTTCTTGTTTTGGATCTCTGTTTCATCCTCTGACTGCTGCATTTATTACTTTTATTACTCCTTGCATACCTGCTACTTGATATGGCTATTATTTAATGTGCATTTGTTTCTGCTTCTTCAAATAGATTATGTCTTCTGAGGACAGAATAAATTCAGTATTTGGCCTAGTGGCTTGATCAATTACAATTATACTAACTTTTATTGATGTTCGCTTTAGTAAATTTCACAGCTTTGTCTCTGGTTAGCATGCTTTATTTTAATATATCTAGATTTGACTTAAATGTTTCCTATAAAATATTTCACCTACTAAACTAAGGACTTGTTTTTATTAGGCCTTCACAGAGCTTCAAGCCAAAGTTATTGACACTCAACAAAAGGTGAAGCTTGCAGACATACAGATTGAACAGCTAAACAGAACGAAAAAGCATGCCCATCTTACAGATACAGAGATTATGACTTTGGTAGACGAGACTAACATGTATGAAGGTGTAGGAAGAATGTAAGTAAAACATATCCTTAAGGGGGTTATCTTGGGAGATGTTTTGTCTGAATTAAATCATAGAATTTGTTCATTTTAAAATTTGGGTTAAAGTATCACAGTAGCTTTAAAGGTCATCTAGTCAGATACCTTCTTGTTTTAAAAATGAGAAACCAAGTCCCAGATAGATGTGTTTAATTTAAATTATTATTTTTTTAACTGTAAAAGAAAGTTTATTTAGAAAGTCACAGAGGTAGAAGAAATGAGTTGTTGAAGAAATGGGCTCAGAGACCTGGCTGGGTAGCTCAGTTGGTCAGCATATCGTGCTGATACGCCAGGGTTGTAGGTTTGATCCCTGGTCAGGGCACATAAAGAATCAAGCAATTAATGCATAAATAAGTGGAACAACAAATCAATGTTTCTTTCTCCCTTCTCTCTAAAATCAAATAAATGGGCTCAGGAAATAAGATATAGAAGCAAAAAAAAAAAAAAAAAAAAGGCCCCATGGAGCTTAGGAGAGAGAAATGGAAAGTAATGCCCTTAGGGGAGAAGAGAAGAGGGAGGAGGAAAGGATGCATTTGCTCCCAGGAGGGAGAGCTGCTGAAGTACATTTCTTAAATATTTCCCTCTTCTCTCTACACTTAGATACTTAAAAGTGTGTAACTTTAATGATAAAAATATGATTTGCCATGAAAAGATATTCATAGTAATTTTGTGTGTGAAGATTTATTTAAATAGTTGTAGTTTTAACCTACCCTTCCCTACCTAATTTATTAGGAGTCATACAGTCATAAATCTTTTAGATGTCTGACTAGTGCCCTAAAATAAAAATACTCAGTTGTCATTTAAATACACTCATTCTGTCATAATGAGAAATCTAGAGAACCAGTTTACCTTTTATTTGTTCTAATTGTTATTATGTGATTAACATATACTAACACTTCACTTTTTTCTTTTAAAACATGTATTAACCTTTATGAGAGAGAACAGATCTGCTTCATGTTCTCTGAGCAGTATGGAAGGAATGGAAAAGCCCTTAACTACAGGTCACACATTCCATTACAGTGAGCTAAAAGAAGGCTGATTTTGGGGGATGGGGGTACAGGAGGAAGGTTCTTCTGGAATTTGGTCTTTGACTATTACTTAGTAAGTGGACCATTACTTCAAGTTGGGCGAGTTTTTAGTTGGAATGGAATTTGACCTTAGGTTTGGGATGACTTGTTTTGTGATTGCTTTGAAGAAAGTGTAACATGTGTAACATTTAGTAATGGCTGTGGAATGACATCATGAGAAGTAGACCCTGCTCCTGACTAGCCAATCCATATCTTTCTGGAAAAGAGATAGATTATGAGAAACTGTTAATCAGATTTGCTTTCTCAGGATAAACAGTATACCACAAATAAATTTTGTCTGCAGAGTTCATAGTTTTCATTTTAGCTTGTTTTAAGAGGAAGAGAATCCCAATTGGAGAGTTTGTTAGTGGGACATAAAATATTGTAATTGGGATAAACAAAGTAGAACTCTTGAATATGTGTCTGTGTAGCTATGAAGTGCATTGTTGGCATTCATGACAGGATAATTTTATCCTTAATGTGAATATCCTTAGGTCTTAAAACAGTAATGCTAGCTTTTCTAGCATGCTTGTTAACATGTTGTACTTGGATTTCACATTACTACATTAGCCTGTTTGCAACAGCTAAAGAATCTTTTTCCAAAATAGAAAAACTCTTTCACTATCTTTGGCCTTTTGAGCTACAATAAAGTTTTTATTTTTAATTAGAATAATTTCATTTTTTAAAACATTCTGCAGAAGTGATAGGAGTGCTGGTTTTACTGCATACTGACTAAAGTGCTAAGATAGGTTGCATTCCACACAGAGTTTTAGAATCTAAAGGCTGGAATATGAATTAGTTAACAGTGAAGATCTCATATTTATGTTGGTTTTTTTTTTGAAATGTACAGGTTAAGTGTTTGGATAAAGCAGAACTCCAATATGGGTTCAAACTTTGGTTTTAAATTTGACTTTTGTGCTTTCTGCATCTCAGTGGGAGTGTGCACTTGACCCTGCATCGTAGGGGCATGTAAGGTGAATAGTGTTTGTCGCTTGGCTAGAGTATTAGTGCCCTCGGGAAGAAAAGACTTGCTGAGTATCAGTCTGGTCATGAGGATGTTCTCTTTCTTGGTGCTAAACCTGAAATGTCTATTTCTGAATTTGTAGTCTTGGGTAATCTTGAGTATCATTGTGATTCATGTCTTAAATTCAATCTTTATGTTGTCTTACCTTTTCCTTTTTCAGTATTATTTGGGAATCCTAATTAGAATACTAAATTTTCTCAAATGGATGTTTTAAAACCATGGATTATAAAATCCAAAACACTCCATTTTTGTTTTGGAACCTGCAGCAGATTGATGCCATCACTGCAATTCAGGCCTCATTATTATGTCTTGCCTGGACTGTTGCAAGAGTTGCAATAGCATCTTAACTGTTCTTCCTGCTTTTATTCTCTCCGCCCAAATGCATTCTTCATACGCCTGCCAGAGTTGATCACCCCAATCTTTTTCATAAAATCCTTTGTTCATCCTTTGTTGTCTGCAGGATAAAATTTAAACTTACTAGTCTAGCTTTCACAGTTATTCATAGTTTGTCCTTAGTTCCTAAGTCCTACCACTTTCTGTTCCCAGACTCAGGACATCTCATGGACTTACTTCCTACCATTGGTTTTGGGTTATTTGTTGGGAAAGAGTTTGAGTCTTATGTGGACTTTAAACATGCTTTAATTGATTAGTGATGTCTGTCATGAAGTAACACACGTGCCAGAGATTGTTATTGCCACCCTTGCCATGTGGGCTTTCTCACATGTGCCGTGTTTTGTGCTTTCATGCTTTTTGCTCATTCTGTCCTTTGTGGCCTGAGATCTTTGACTTTCCCTCGTGAAATTCTCATCTTTCAAGAAGTAGCTCATATTGTCTGAAGATTTTTCCTCGCTAGCAAACCTAGTCACATTTCTGGGGTGGTACCAGGACTTTTGTTCCTGTGGCTAGTAAAACACACATGCACACAGACAGAGAGATTGGCTGACTGGTTGATTTTTAAGTGGGTCAGTCTCCCCAGCTAGACTGGCAGCTCTGGGAGACCAGTATACATACATATTTATTCCTGTTTCTTCAGTTCTCACTAATAATGTCTGGCACAGAATAGATGCTAAATGTGTGTTGGTTTGAATTAAATAATGATTCTTTTGCCTAAAATAACTGCATTTTCTTTTGGTTCTTTAGAAAGGAAATATGTTTAGAAAGTGTCAGAGACTTAAGAATTAGTTTATTATTCTGTTTTAATATTATGATTTGATAAAGGTGAAATTATAAAAGTAACATATTTTGATAAAAGTCAAAGGAATTGTTTCTGACCAAAATTATGTCATTTGATCTGACAGAATTAATTCTTTATTAAGTTTGTGGAGAAGATTGACTAATTCTAAATACCGGCGAGTTGCACAGATATTCCAAGCCTTTAAAATTAAGCTGAGGACAGTATGATAACCCTTGGAGAAAAAGGCTAGTCTGTGCAGAGTAATGTCAGTATAATTGTATCTATTTCACCTTCCTCGTCTTCACATAGCATGAAAATCAGATTTTTCTTTTTAGGCTATGTATTTAGTTTACCAGATCATTGCAAGCCCAGATGCATTTCAGTTCACAAACATGGAGAATTTGGTAGTGTTAAATACCTCTTAAATATGGCTACTTTGGGCTTAAAACAAGGCAAATGAAGCTGCAGGGCGAGAGATGATGAATTGCTATATACTGTAAGCTCTGAGTAGTTGTTGCTCAAAGCTATATTCCATCCAGTCTCTTGGCATGTGGCCAGCACATTTTAGTTCTGTTACTTCATATTCTTTGGAGAGGCTGTTATGTAGCCTGATACTACTACCACCAATTTCTAGTTTTACTCCTTAAGCTGTTTGTGAGCTGACCTCACCATACTGCTTTGAGAACTATGATGAAAGTTACAACTGTGGAATGATCTGTCTGAATAGTTGGAAGTGTTTGTCTTTGCATCTTTCTAGCATGCAAGGAGAGGATCAAATAAATACTAGATCTTAAATAAATATTGCATGGATGTTTCTTGTCTCTTTTTTTCTGGAATAAGAACCAGTTTATAATTGTATATAGTGGTTTCCTTCCTTTTTACTTTGCATAGAAGTAGAGTATTTAAAAAAAGAAAGAAGTATGTTTCAAAAGTACACATGACTGACATTTAGCCATGGTAGTGTTTGAAAGGACCATCATTCCGATAAATGTCAAACTTATTTTTATTAACAATAGGTATGATCCTGACCCTGATTTGATGTCAGGTCTATTGTTCTAACATCCTTTCAGTTGAGCATTACATAAATAACATTTCTCCATTCCAAAAGAGACAAATTAAGCCTTTTATTTTCTTAATATGGAAGGAACTTGAGTAGATTAGCCTTTGAGAAGAATGATTAGTGCCTTTTTAAAACTTGAACCTAACCAAAAATAACTTTGTACCATATTTAAACTAATTTAGAGGTATGCTACCATTCTGTGGATATTTTTTTACATTTATGGAACTAAGAATGAACAATGGTATAAATCTACCAACTAGATAAGTGTCTAGCAATGCAGAAATTGCTGTTTGGGAGCGGTGTTGCTATTTCTACTTGTTGAAGTAATTTGATGGTTGATCTCTAATGGTTAAAAGATCCAGAAATGTAAGACTTAAGATAAATGTGGCACAGGTAGAAAGTGAAAACAGCAGGTCTGTTATTCCTGATAGGTGGTAAATTAAGAAGAAAATTAACAGTTGAATAATTTTTCACCTAATTAGGATGCAGAAATCTGAACTGACCATGCACGACTGCTTCAGCGTGGTTGCACTGCCCTTTATTTAAGATGTTATGCTGGTTTGTAGTCATTTTAATTGTAAGTTTGGATGTTGGCCTGTAATTTGAATCGTGACATTTGGTAAAGTCAGGGTGAAAATTTTGCAGTTTCTC